GATAGATAGATAGATAGATAGATAGATAGATAGATAGATAGATAGATGTAAATAGAACAATTAATCAGCAGAACAACTTCCCTCCAGAGGTTGTGAATGCTCCATTACTGGATATTTTCAAGAAGAGACTGGACAGCCATTTGTCCAGAATGTAGGGTTTCCTGCTTGAGCAGGGGGTTGGACTAGATGACCTCCATAGTCCCTTCCAACTCTGTTCTTCATTCCAACTACCATAACGGGCTTATTTACTTTGGCCACCACCTCAGCGAGCGAGGAAAATCTCATTTGAGCCTTGTTGGATGCAAGAGGAAATTAGAAAAAGGACATTCGAAAAGAATACTTAGCAAAAGTAGAATTAGCTTGATATTGGCTGATTGATAGGGAGCTAGAGCTGAGCTCTTTCAAAGATTTGGCATACAAGAGAGATAATTTCTCCTACTTTAAGAATACAAAAGCTAGTAGATCTGATCTATGCAGCTCAGAATAAGACAGCCTTTAGCCTCATGAGATCATCCCATATTAATTGGGATGTTGAGAACCAAAAAATGGGGCTGGATGCTGAACTGTGTTTCTTCCAACAAGCCAGCATTGACTGAGTTGGTTCAACATGGTGGAGTGGAATACAATCCATGCTTTACAAACTACAAAGGCTGGACTCACACAAAATGCCAGACCCAACAAACCACGTAAATATGTGAACTCAACTACAGAGTAGAGGCTGGCTGGATTGGCCCACAACTACACCAATTTATCTGAAGAATGATATCTTTGGTTTTTCTCCTAAGTCTTCTGTTGAACATTTTTTTCAAGTTCTGCAGTTACAACAGTGAGAAAACCTTCTATTTATGCTCTGCATAATTTTATAAACCATTTGGATATTTTATCTCCCTCTTTAAAGAAGCTGTCCGTTTTTTGGGGGGAAATTATAATGCTGCTGTTTTAACAAGCCTGGGAAGAAACTAGATTAAAACTGAGGATATGAATGGCTTCTTTTCAAGGACAATTTCTGAAGCTTTTGGGAAGCTTATTCTAACATGTACATCTGGTTTCTTCTATCGGGAGCTGTAGAATGCACTAATATTGAGAGAGAGAGAGAGAGAGAGAGATGGGGGAGGGAGGGAGAGGTAGAGAGCACAGTTATTTTCGTTTTATGGTTTCAAAAATCAGGGTTCTTCTCAGAAAATCGTATTTTAAAAAGATGAAAAAAGGAAGGTTCAAGCAATTTGACATCATCTTTGTCAGTTCAATTGATTGACATTAAAGAGGAGGAAGGAAGAAATGAAGGAAGGAAAGAGAGATGAGGACGAAGGAAGGAAGAGTCAGACAAGGAAGGGAGAATCAAGGAAGGGAAGGAGGGAGGGAAGAGATAAGAGGGGGAAGGAAAGAAGGAAGGAAGGAAAGAAATATTTGCAACTCTTCATGTGAGATGCGACTCAGCTATAGTAAGTGGCAATTTTAAACAATGTTTGATTTTGTAAACCAGATATTGCCTTGATTAATACTTCAGTGACAGACCACCAGAAAGATATATGGCTATAGGCCAAGCTGAGAAATAAGAACAAAAAAAAGAGAGAACATTCTGAAAAAAAAAAAAAGATAAATCAATTCCATTTGTTGCAAAGGAAACTACCAGGGGACATGCTTCTTAATTTCCCCAGGATTTGAACTCAGTTCAAAGATATCTCTCCTTTCCATCCCTTAACAAGGACAAGAAAGTTTTGATGAGAGAGAGCCATCTGTCCCAAATTCTTGTTCTAGTCCCAAAAAGAATGCCACATAAATTTGAACAAAAGGTCAGGATTTTTTTTTTAAAATAAAAAAAATAAAAAAATAGACCCCCGGGGCTGATTCAATTACTTAGCAAGAATTGGCTGAAAGAACATATGCTCTGCGATATGCCGGATTGGGCTTGCCAAGTATTTTACATAAACGCTAATCCCCCCCCCCCAAAAAAAAACCACATTACAGAGGAAAAAGCAAATGTAATTTCGGCTAAGGTTTAGCACCAAGCGAAGTTGGACCTGGAAACGGGAGGACAAATTACTCCAGATTATCCTGAGAATTCGCTCCTGCGCCTATTCATCGTGTGGTGCTATCCATCACTTCTTTTTTTCCATCTTGCTGGTAGAGAGATTTTCATATCAGCATTGCTGCAAAATCTGGGTGTTTTCGTTTTTTCTTCCCCCTATTAAACATCCTGTCCTGCCTCTTGAGATAACGAAAATTGCTTTGCTCGCCTGGAATTAATACTTCTATCACTTCTGTACATCTTACCGAGGAAGGAATCGCAACGCTACGCTTCGCACCTTCTAAAAGCAATTGGCTCTAGCAATACATATAGACTGAGTGAAACCAGGCTCAATAGCAGTAACCGTGAGAGGGATCTTGGAGTCTTCATGGACAACCAGCTAAATAGGAGCCAGCAGTGTGCAGCGGCAGCCAGAAAAGCTAATGCAATCCTAAGTTGCATTAACAGAGGGATACAATCAAGATCAAGGGAGGTACTAATACCACTCTATAAAGCCTTAGTAAGACCATACCTAGAGTACTGCATCCAGTTTTGGTCACCACATTATAAAAAAGATGTTGAGACTCTAGAAAAAGTACAGAGAAGAGCAACCAGGATGATTAGGGGACTGGGGACTAAAACATATGAAGAACGGTTGCAGGAACTGGGCATGGCCAGTCTAAGGAAGAGAAGGACCAGGGGAGACATGATAGCAGTCTTCCAATATTTGAGGGGCTACCACAGAGAGGAGGAAGTGGTCAAGCTATTTTCCAAGGCACCCGAAGGCCAGACAAGGAATAATGGATGTTAACTTAACAAGGAGAGATTTAACCTGGAAATAAGGAGAAACTTTCTGACAGGGAGAACAATCAACCAATGGAACAGAAGTGGCCCTCGGACGTTGTGGGAGCTTCATCCCTGGAGGCTTTCAAGAAAAGATTGGACTGCCATTTGTTAAAAATGGTGTAGCGTCTCCCGTTTGGGCGGGGGGCTGGACTAGATGACCTATAAGGTCCCTTCCAACTCTGATTATCTATTATCTGGCTCGAGCCACCAGCTGCACCGGAACACTTCAACTTAGGAATGTTCGTTCAAAGTTACGACAGCATGGAAAAAAAGTCCCATTTTTCACAGTTGCAGCCTTTCCAGCATCACCAGGATCACGCAATTGAAATTCAGATGCTTGCCCACCGACTTGTACTTATGATGGTTTCATGTCCTGGGATCAGGCCATCCCCTTTTGTGACCTTCTGACGAGCAAAGCCCGATTCACTTAACGACCGGGTTACTAAGTTATCACCTGCATTTACTCACTTAACAATCGAAGCCGGAAAGGTCGTAAAATGGGGCAGAACTCACTTAACCAATGTCTCGCTTAACAACAGAAATTTTGGGCTTGGTCGTGGTGGTAAGTCAGGAACCGCCTGGATTATAAAGTCGGGTCAACAGTGGAAAATTCTGATTTCTATCAAGGTAGATTTCCCCTCCACCCTTTCCTTCCTTGCAATTTTGATCTGGAACTAACAGCTTCCACTCTACCAGCAAAGAGAGGCTGGTGGGGTTGGATTATTAGAAGATCTTCGATGCCCCTTTTGCTCCTGTGGTTTTATGATTCTACCATGCTAGGAGCTGATGTAGAACCGATGGGCTCTGCATGTCTTCCTCAAAGCTTTACATTTTGACGGAACTGCCAAAAATTGGACAGACGCACTAAAAATTGGGTGTTTTGACAGACACACCAAAATGGGCAGGCACTTGACAGAGCCACTAAAACCGGTTGGATTCATACAACATACTGTATTGTCTCCATCTCACACACGCACACACACACACACAAACACATCTACACATGTATGTTCCTCACTACGCCTAGTTTGGTTAGTTGTAATGGGTGAAAAAGTCTCTTGATTGCTCTTTTTTTCAGAAGAAAAATTTAATCATCTTTAATCTAGATCTGTTCTCTGGACTCCAGGTTGACTTCCCACATTGATGAGAAGGTTCAAGTGGAAACTTAGGACGGTGAGACTTAGAAGATGCCCAAGATGCTTGATTAGTCTTAACTTTGGGGAGTCTTTCTGATAGTTTTGCAAGAACCCAGCCCATTGAAATAGCTTATGGGTTCTCTTTATTTGATAATCCAAATAAAAGAAGGAGGAGGAGGAGGAGGAGGAGGAGGAGGAGGAGGAGGAGGAGGAGGAGGAGGAGGAGGAGGAGGAAGCACCAAGGACTCCTCACTTGGTGAACACTTTATAGGAGAAAGCAGATGTAACATTTTGGGAGATTTGGTGCATTCCATACTTGTTGACCCATCACCTCTCATTCTGGAAGAATTCTGGGACCTGGCATGGAATATATTTTGGCCAAGCTCTCCTTAGTCTTAACCACATTTTCTCTGCCATCTGTTGAAGAGGACACTTCAACCAGAGGAAAACAAAACAAAACAATACTTTCGAACCAAGGCCAACAAAACATTGCAAGTTGGAATGGCATGGGTTGGGAGGGGGGGGGGGGGAGGCTGATGTTGGCAGCTTTGGGCTTGCCTCCTCCTCACCTTGACGGCTTCAGCATGGGTCACCTTGTCCAGCGGCTTGTCGTTGACCTTCAAGATCCGGTCTCCCACCCGAAGGCCCTCTTTATCCGCCAAGGAGCCCGGCTCCACCAGGGAGACGTAGATGCCAACGCTGTGCTCAGAGCCCCCTCGGATGCTGAAACCCAACCCTTCTTGAGCCTTCTGCCTCTTGAGAGTCATCCGCCTGACCTCTCCTGGCAGGTCTTCCAAGCCAACCGCAGCGTCTCCGGGAGCTGTCCCGTCCACGGTGGTGCTGAATTCTGGCCGGAGCTTGCCGGAGGAGGGAGGCCAGAAACGAGCGGCAGGGGTGGGAGAGGGAAAAGGGGCCGAGGAGGCAGCGCCGGGCGGAGGAGGGAGGACTCTGGAAGACCCGGCCCCATCGTACCCTGGCCCAGCGATGGGCAAGAAGTCCGCCTTTAGGTAGAGCCCCTCCGAGGTGTACTGGTCGAAGAGAAGCTGGTCCGAGCGAGGGATGACCAGGCGCAACATGGGCAGCAGCTGCCTCTTCTCTGGGCCGTCCAGCAAGACTTTGAGCGTCTGCACCAAGTCGTAGACATTCCGGCGACAGTGGTAGACGTTAAGGCAATGGATGAACTGCTCCCGCTCGCCTTCGCTCAGCAGCAGGTTGAGTGCCCCGTGGAGCTTCCGCACGTTGGCCGACAGCAGCCGGATGCCGGATCCGGGCCCCCCGCTCCTGAGCCCGGCCTGTCCCGCAGCCCCCTTGCCCGCCCCGTCGAAGGAAGGCGAGGAAGAAGCGCTGGAGGCGCGCGAACCCACCGAGAGACGGTCCAAGTCTGCGCTCATCGCCTCCGGCCAGAGAGAGAGACGGATGCTGGTCGGCCGCTGGGGAGCCGGGCATCGGAAGACAGCTGGACGGCGGGGGCCGTTCACTTGCGGGGCTCCCTTCTCCTCGGCCCCCTCGGCTGGAAAGGCGGAGGAGCCATGGGGGGAAAAGCAGAGAAAGGAGACGCCGGGCGGGTCGGCGGAGGGGCGGGCGCGCTCCGGAGAAGGCGTCCTGGCCGGCGTCGCTTTCCCCCCTGCGGCTTGTCCTTTGCAAGGTGAGGAGGGGAAAAAGAGAGAGAGAGAGAGAGAGAAACAGAGTTCAGAGGTGGGGGTGGCTCAGGCCGGCGCGGAGGATGGGATCCGTGGCCGAGTCCGCCGCTGCCGGCTGGCCTCTCTGCGTTCCGCGGAGCGCACGCATCTCCAACTCCCTGGCGCCTCCTGCTTGGCACAACTCCGCTTCGTCCAAAGAGCAACAGCCACACCAAGTCTGCCCTTTTTTCTTTTTCTTTGCAAAGGTTCGCCCTGCTTGTTTCACCCTCGCCTTGTTAAAAAATAATATTAATAAGAACTGGCGCCTCGCCCGAGCTTGCCAAAAACAACAACAACCCAACAACAACCCAACCCGAGGCTTTCTTTCTGCAGACGCGGCTCCTCGCTCTCCCCAGCACACGCCAGCCCAAGACTTTCTCCAACTGTTGAGCGCCCCTTCGCTCGCCCTGCCGAGCTGCCAGGCTGTCGGGATCAACCAACCTCTTGGCAGAAACCTGCTCAGGAAGTGACGCGTCTCCCGGTTGCCAAGAGACGGGGCTGATACAGTCCGGCCTCGGCAGAGAGGAAGGTGCGCCGAGCGTGGTGCAGTCGAGCAAACTTCAGCCAGGATGTTACCTGAGACCAGGATGGGGCTTCTCCTCTCCTTGAGAAGAGCACTGATGTTGTGAACGAGTTGGGGTCATGAAACGTCTGCAAGGAAAGCCACCATGCTCAGAGAGCACCAAGGACCCCACAGTTGTCTTCCACCTCCTCCTCCTCCTCCCCCTCCTCCTCC